TTCTGCATATTTTTTAGTTCTTATCTCTGTCCAACCTTTTTATTTTTCACCTCTATTCGGTCCTGCCTTTTTTTATTCGTTTATCCTAACTTGTTTTACATAAATTGTCATCCTTCCCTTTTTTTTTTGCAAAGTTGCTCATCCTGCCTTTTTTTTAACTCAAAACTCCTGTCCTGCATTTTTTTCAAACCCCCCCCCCCCCCCCCTCCCACCGTAATAATCAAATGGTAGCTCCCTTGTTTGAGGTTTAAATCCCCCGGCTGGGAAAAACCAAAGACTTGCAGATTGGTATTTGCTACTGTATTTTCTACTTCTCCGGTAAGCACGCGGCATTAGAGGTCGGTCAATTTAAAACGTATCCAAAATATCAGATATGTTGACGTATACGCATCTGGGGGAATATGCTCAAATAATTACCCTGATCTAGAGTATTACTCAATGTACCATTTTAAAGACTAACGGGGATCAAACTGTGGCACTAATCAATTTGCAACTGTTTATTTCTGAATGCCTCACTTCAACTTAATATATAACTTCTTTATATTTAGCATTGAAACAACAAAAGGGTACATAATCCTTAAGTCTATGTTGCATACCAAAATTAAAGATCTTTATTTCATGGGGACCTACAACAATTAAACACAGTTTTTTTTCTAGAATGGCGATGATGTTGTTTTACGAAAAATGGGGTTCTACCACTGAAGGGTATAGTACGACATATGACATTGATCCCCATTATTTTTCATGAATAGTACACCAAGTAATATATTCGATTTGGATAATTATTTTAGCATATTCCCCTAGATGCGTATACGTCAACGTATCGGATACTTTGGATACGTTTTAAATTGACCGACCTCTATTAATAGTAAGAGACTGGCGACTCAGTGTCAGAATAATGTGTTCTGGTAGGGTGACATATCTTCCCGTGGAATGTTACCTTGTGAAGTAACACGTTAAATATTCTTATCACATTAACGTGTTCTCGTTAGTATATGAATGTAGTTGTTGTCACTGGACGTAATACACCGATCCATCATCATCGGCCTACTTTTCGATTGAACTGGCAACATAAATTAATTTTATTTAAAAATCCAAATAATTCACACTTTTCTTTTCGATTGGCGTTTCACGAATTACATCTTAACTTGAGTTTTTTCCATTAGAATATATATTTAATTTTTTTTGTTGCTTGTTACTTTGATACGGAGATGATGCATTCAGGCTTTAGCTTACTATTTAAGTAATAACAGATATTTTCTGAATGAATATGGTAAAATTATATTATCTATCACGATATATTCAATAAGGAGAGAATTACAATGTGTTATATACTGACCCCTCGAAGTTTTGCTGTTTTTTATATACAGTTGAAATGATCTGGTTAAAATAGAAAGAAGTCAATAATAATATAAATATAAATCTGACCAGACAATTGAACATTTATACTACCCATTAAGATGTACTAGTTTTTCGTCGTCACGTAAATAGATAGGGTTTCTATTGACAGACTTTGAGCAAGAGTGACTTCCCTGTTTAACGCCATGTGGTAGGTCTAAGATCGCAATTTTCATAATAAATCTGCCAAATTCAACTTGTTATACTGACTGCTAGACTTTAGAAAAGGGGTTCTCTGAACTATTTGTATTTCTTTTAGCTTGTTTAATTTGTCGCTACGATCTAGAAAGGATCTCGTATCAGACTTATTAGTATCGCATGTTTCAATTTGGAAAGTCGAATAAAAAATTGAATATTTATCCCTCCAGAATGGCGGCCTATGGAAACAACTCAAACTCAAATTACGTCATTCGAAACCTTTCTATCATATATATGCATCATTAGAACAGCTATACACTACAATTCACTATAATAGTCAGTATGTTTAAACACTTATATTTTCAAATATACCTTATTAAAAAAAAAAGACGCGGAAGATACCAAGGGTACTATAAAACTCACTAATTTAGAGAAACTGACAACTCCATAGCAAAAACCAAAAGACGAGCAAGTTAAAAAAAACAATACATAGAAAACTAAAGACTGAGCAACACGAACACACCAAAAAACTAAGAGTGATATCAAGTTCTGGAAGGGTAAGCAGATCCTGCTCGGTCTGTTATAGATATTTCACTATATTTTAGACATATTTTTCATCTTTTGTAGCATATAAGTAAAAGAAAATATTAATTTTTTTTTTGCAGAACTAAATGGGAAATTCTGTTTTCATATCTAATGCCAGTTCTCACAATTTGTACGTGAAAGTTGTTTGTGACATCGAATACCAGAAAGCTGCTGGCGCTTTTGGTGGACTTGGAGTACATGTTAACAAAGAAACACAATGGAGTTCACCTGATAAAGCTGGATACACACTTGTAAATAGGTATTCTTCAATGGAATTCTTTCCAGATTCATCAAAAGGGGTCTGCTATGTAACTATAAAATTCGGACCAGATGACCAAAAGACTATTTGTAAACATCATCCTCTACAAGTGAAACGTGGCTTAATAATTGACGAATCTTGCCATGTACACACCGCAAAAAATAGAAAAAAATGGATAGATACTGATGGAATTTATCATAAACCAGATCCGAAAAAAGAGACAACCTTACCATCTGACGATGATGAATTTTAAAAACCTGTTGAAGTGAAAAATAAGGTCAGGTGATTCTGTGAAAATTTTGTGTTTGACTTGCACATGTCAATATATTTTAAATTCTTTTTCATCATTGAGTGACTGCTTGTCATAGAATTGAAATGACAAAATAGTCTTTTTTTTTACTTTGTATTTGTGATCAATCAAACGCACTATATATTAGTCAAAATACATTTTAAACGTTTTAATGAGGTGATGATCATTCATAGATAGAAATGCTGCTGAAAAGTGACCAGAATTAGTAATAAGATCGAACCTCGCACAAAGCAGACGCGTTCGACTCCAATCTTAATTGACTAGGATTGCCAGTTTTCCTGCCGAAGGTCTGTTATTCTCTTCGAGCACTCAGGCTTCCTCAACCAATAACAAAATTGCCGCTACGAAATTGCCAATAATGATGAAAGTGGCGTTAAACACCAAATAATCAATCAGTCAATTAGTATTTTAATGTAAGAGTTCCATCTGCAATAGGTTAGGCTGGTTCTCTCCCTTGTAACATACGGGTACCTGAGTCAGAGCCGAACAGATAAAAGACAGGGAACCAGTCTAGCAATAGGTTTGCATAACCTGCTATAAGTTGCGTAATAATGACAAATAAAATACATCCAATTTGTCATCAAAACTTCTCTCTTACTTTACCTCCTCGGCATTTGTGTTTTCGTTGTAGATTTCCACCGAAATATATAATATTATCCTTTAATATCTCAGAAGTTTCTATCTTGAGAGAACATTTACACAAAGAAAGTCTAATCTGTCTAAATTGAAAATTTGACTGTATTTATAGTTTTAACGATCATGTATTCTTAAATAAAATTGCTATTTAATAAGTATAGATTATTACATGGCATTTTTCATATCAGACCCTTTATCGGCCCTAGGTCATGATATCAGCCCAAGAGCCGCAGGTTCGAGGGCCGATAAAGGGTATGATATGAAAAATGACATGTAATGATCTTTTTATCATATAATTCAGCAGAAGAAATACAGACAAGAACTATACAAATTTTGTCTATCTTTGAACATTTAGATGATAATTTACAGACAAACAAATTCAAATTTCTTAATTTTAATTGTTTTTATTGATATTACAAGCATTCTACTTATCTTGTCACAACAATTATCATGTTTTTAGTTTGAAAAATTTATTGTCATCTTTCCTGTGATGGTTGCCCCCGAAAACATGTGCATAGTTTTTCCTTTAAATTGTAATGAACAATTTCTGGCATCTCATTTATGTCTTTCAAAACATGTTAAATCTTAATTCAGTTTTGCTTTACAACCATTTTGTGAAAAGTCTCAAATCACTTACATTTTTCCGCACTATATTGTCGTTTTCATACCAATTTCCGGAAATGCACGAAGTTGAATGTGATAAACGTCACAGAAATGAACAGAAAGGCATGTGATAACATTCCGGAAGCAGACAATAAAGGTACCTTTATCAGCCCGCCGAGCAAATTCTTAGGAATCTGGTCAATAAACCTAGTAATCCTTACATAGCCTTTTAATATTTTCAAATGTTATTGAACTGTAAAATTTTAGTAATATTTTATACAAGTATATGATAATACTATTTATTGTCTTAAAGCAAATAAAGTACAGCTTGTGATGAACTAATTTAAAATACAAATTACATAAAACATATATACAACAAAATTTGTTAACAATCAGTAAATTAAAACCCTTTGTCCTTAGTTCCATTTGCCGCTTTAAATAGGAACCTATACTCATGACACGGGTTATGTTCTTCTCATATATGTTATGATGGTATGATACTAAACCCCTAACGGGAAGGATTGTGCCTGATATTCATATGATGAAGACATAATCTTTCAATCAGTTTAATTGAAGTCTGGAGCTGGCATGTCAGTTAACTGCTAGTAGTCTGTTGTTATTTATGTATTATTGTCATTTTGTTTATTTTCTTTGGTTACATCTTCTGACATCATACTCGGACTTCTCTTGAACTGAATTTTAATGTGCGTATTGTTATGCGTTTACTTTTCTACATTGGCTAGAGGTATAGGGGGAGGGTTGAGATCTCATAAACATGTTTAACCCCGCCGCATTTTTGCGCCTGTCCCAAGTCAGGAGCCTCTAGCCTTTGTCAGTCTTGTATTATTTTTAATTTTAGTTTCTTGTGTACAATTTGGAGTTTAGTATGGCGTTTATTATCACTGAACTAGTATATATATTTGTTTAGGGGCCAGCTGAAGGACGCCTCCGGGTGCGGGAATTTCTCGCTGCATTGAAGACCTGTTGGTCACCTTCTGCTGTTGTCTGTTCTATGGTTGAGTTGTTGTCTCTTTGACACATTCCCCATTTCCATTCTCAATTTTATTTGTACCTGTTGAAAACTTGTTAGATTCAATATATATTGTTAGTAGCATTTTTTGTACGTAAATTCAAAACCTCAGTATTTTGAGAAACAATTTCAGACAAGAAATTGTTTCTTACATAGTTATTTGTTTCGCATTGGAAGAGGAAATGCATTTCATCATCTATATCATTACTGGAGCAAGCATTACATAGTCTAATATTTCAAAGTACTTTTTAAATATCTATCCTATTCAATTTCCAAATTATGATCACATATTCCAAATTTCGTAAGAAGTTTGAATGTGATAAGTTAAATTTTCTCTATGTATCCATTTTTAGATCCTTTACGAGAAAAAGTTTACTTTGTTAACATAGGACTAAGGTTTTCAATATTAATTTTATAAAGGTTTTTATAATGATTAGACATTCCTTCCTTAATTGCTTGTTTCAAAGATAAAACTTCCTTTATAGTTTTGCATGAAGACAACTTTTTGGAATCATCTGTCTCTTTATGGATAACATCTTTGGCATATACCCAGGAATATACATTTTGTTCATCTAACATCTTACAGATTTCAAATGATTCCTTTAATAGGGATTGATATCTTTAGTATGTAGTCTAGCCAAATATAAATAATACTGAACTCTAATATAGTTTTCTATTGGTAATCTATCAACTTCAAGCCGAGTTGCCAAATTTGTTGAGCATTTTCTAACACCCAATATATATTTACAGAATTATGAATGAAACTTTTTAAAAGGTGATATATCTATAAAACAAAATGGATCAACAATTTTGTTACTATAGGTTTGCGCAAGCTTTTGCTCTTATAAATCGTAAGTAATAATGAAAATTTATAAAGCGCCGTATATAAAAAATAAAAAATTACTCTAAGGCGCTTTACATTCAACATGGTAATTAAAACAAATCAATGAGAAATACATAAAACATACATTGTGTCAGATTCAAATACTGAAAAATAGAAAAAATACAACAAAAATGCCTACCATAAAATAAAAGGTCAATACGCAAATACATGTTAAAACATAAGTATGAGTCCATCATGCATATTTCAACATACTAGTAATAAGTTAACACAGTTCTGATTAATGAACCAAATAAACTTAATTCCACTTTGATTGCATTTCTCGTTTGAATTGTTATACATTTGTCAGTTTGGGGCCTTTTAAAGCTTACTAATGTGATTACTTGAACATTTTCTTAATTTTTGACGTCTTTTTAGAATTCACTGTTTTTGGTACTACCTTCCCTATAACATGTAGTTTCGCAGACAATTATGAAGATCCCTATACTAAAGTGTTAATTTCATTTTAAAAGACAACAAACTCGGTCTAAAAAAAGTAAATTGACAATTTCGATTCATGTGTCTTATTTTTATATCTTGTATTTCTTGTGAAGCTTTTTTCTGCTGTTTTCAATACTAAATATTCCAAGATAATATGTTTTAACGCTATACGCAGTTAGAAAATTTTCATTTAACGACACTAGCTGTTGTAAGTAGTCGATGGATGGGTTAAGTCATTTTTTTATAGTTATTGTTTATTTGCATAAATTTGCTACGAGGACTACAAGCACTGGTAGAAAATAAAGCGAGATTGCATTATCTTGTTCAAAGTGAAAGTACGTCGTTACGTAGGTTGACGAAAATAAAGCAATTTGTTTGTGCTTCATGGAGTAGTACGATAATAAAGAAAGGTACTATTTCGTGGAGAGAAAAAAAGAACAAGGACTCGCATGAATCTATTGTGATTTCGAGTCAGAATCTTGCCGTCTAAGTCTGGGTCACCATTTTAATGTTTTCTATATGAAAAATGCTCTGACGTCCCAGTTTTAAAAATGGCCAAATGTCAAAAACAAACTCGTACTATGGGCTCATATAAATTTATTCCAAATTTGTCACTCACGGAACAAAATAACGCAGTGGCCTGACAACTTATTCCAAGTGAAAGCTGGAAGCGAAACATGGAGGGTCGAAGAAATAAGCTTTCTTAAGCATACGCTTTCTTATTTGCTTAATTAGGGTGTAGTTAAATTGGTGAAACAATGAAGATATTTCGTCAACTGGGAAGTATTCTGGTGTATGTTAACAAGCACTTTTATATATAAGTAGAAAATAAACTAAGCTTCAAACGGAATTTCACATGATACCTCATAAATATTACACAAAAAATATCATGCATCTTTGGTTTCAAAAAATAAAAAAGAAAAATACTTCCTTCAAGTTGAAAAATACTTTTGATAATTAAAATAGAACCATCATTCTACGATGCATCATAAACACAATGAGGTGCCATGTTATTATTTTTTTCTCTAAATTAATGTTATTTCCAGTAATTTCTCATTCTGGTAACTATGATGGGTTCTACAAGTTACACGTATGGCACCCTTCGCAAAGCCCTGGATTTAAATCACAAATTTAGCCGAAGCATTTTCACACAAAAAGTATTGCCATATTCCCCTGTATTGTGTTCATTCCCAGGGTCAACATATACAGTTTGTTGAAATCGTCTGGAACAGGAATATTACAGACTATTTAATAACATAACATACCCATATAATCACAATAATGTTCAGTTCTACACATTGTTGTTAAAGGTAGTTTTTAAACAAAATTCTTTGAATTAAAAAAAAGCTAGATGTTCTTTAAAAATACATCGAATGTTACCGTGACTTTAATTGATTTTTTTTTCTAAAAGATTTCTAAAAGACAATATATATAGCTTTAGTTCCTATAAACTATTGGTTAAAAACGTCTTTTCTATGCGTACATTTTGGATACATACTAAAAGAGGGACGAAAGATACCAGAGGGACATTCAAACTCATAGATCGAAAACAAACTGACAACGCCATGGCCAAAAATAAAAAGACAAACAGACAAATAATAGTACAGATGACACTAAATGTTCGACAAAATTTACCCAAAATGGACTTTTCAAAAAAAGGCCATGTGTAAAATTAATTCCTGGGAAATTGGCTCTTTCTGAATTCAATGGTTAATGCCCATCAATATGTTATGAATGTTAGGTGCATTGTTACTATATTTTCTATTGCAATGACCAATTCAAACAACAGATATTTGTCAGTCAATTCAAGGTGCAGAAATTCACTATATCCTGATTATGATGATATGAAATATTCTATTTTCTAATCGATAAGTTTCATATGTCTCTTGTATTTTTTTTGTCTTTACTTGAAAATGCGATTGAGTTAAAATAAAACTTCTACAAGAATTGACACATAACACAGACCAACAATTAGAATAAAAAAAACTACAAATACAGTATGTAATCTATTCCAGGAACTGCCGGAGAACCTTTGCTAGTGCTTCCTTATAATAGCAGTCATGTCTGTGAAAGGCAAGACAGTGGGCTGATTTTAATCCCATAGGAAATTTTATACTACCTACAATATTCACTGGGACTACCAAAGGTTGTTTATCAACCAATGCAGAAGTAAGATTTTTCATCTTGGAGACATCAGGCCAGCAACGTTTCACAAACACATCGGAAACCAGTATAAATATTAGTTTTGCTGTCTTTATTTGTTTGTCAGTTCCGCTTAGAAATTCCTCAGTGGTGTTGTTTTTAATTATTACATCAAGTATGTTACTTTGTGCCACTGCTTGTATAACGTCACACTTGAATGATTCTAAATCTTTTGTATTCTCTTCGGCAGTCATCACCAGTATCGCTGAAATATTGATAGATTAATTTATATGAGTATGTATTAAAATATTATTTACATTAATCCATCAATCTATATTTTGAAATAAAAATACGAAGATCGTTTTATTGAAATTTGTTGTTATTAAAACTTAATGTTTAGTATTATGACTACCATTTGGTCGAACCCTCTGCTACTGAACTTCTATGATATAAGGGTTCACAAGCCGAGAAGCCGACTACCCTGGTCCTTGCGTGAAAATGCGGGTATTGTTTTATTTGAATTGTTACTTGAAAACTGAGGATATCCTTTAAAATAAAGGAACGATTCTGTCTCATGCATAGCTCTGATGGCTTAATTATCAAGGCTTGGTTGTCATTTGTTGATGTGGTTCATAAGTGTTTCTCGTTTCTCGTTTTTTTATATAGACTAGACCGTTAGTTTTCCCGTTTGAATGGTTTTACACTAGTCATTTTTGGGGCCCCTTATAGCTTGCTGTTCGGTGTGGGCCAATGCTCCGTGTTGAAGGCCGTACCTTGACCTATATTGGTTTACTTTTTTCAAATTGTGACTTGGATGGAGAGTTGTCACATTGGCACTCAAACCACATCTTCTTATATCTATTGACTATACGTTTGGGCCTTTTTGGCTATACTACCTCTAAAATGTTTGTTTAAATTTTGGATTTTCGCATATTATAGCCTCGTGCATCACGAAAGAGCCATTGATTGCCGAAATGTGTATCTTATGCATACCAAATGGTTCCGTATAATGTTTCATAGCTTTGTAGCAAGTAATCATTTTTATTTGGCATTTGTTTTCATATAATAATAAGTTAATCTTTAAAAAAAAACATGCATGACTAGTATAAACGTCATCAAAGATATCAGGCTCATAAAAAATTACGCAAGACGCACGTTTTTTCTACACAAAACTCATCAGTGGCGCTTGAATCAAATTCATGGTAAGGTTACATAAGTTACAAATTTAAAAGACACTGAAAGCAGTAATTCCAGAGATTTGTGCAAAATATTGATACGGCTATCTATGTTCTGCGGTACCACAAAATCTAAGTGCTTCGAATGATATTAACGTTATATTACTATTACATTTACTGAAAATGTTAGCATGGGTGATGGTGATATCCTTGGGGGCAAAACTTGTATCAACATTAGGTTTCACGGATTTGATTCTTTTCCTTTACGGACTGTAATTGATATTACCTTATAAAATTAAATTAATGTATTCATATGAACGAAAAGAACCATTAAAACAATTTGAACTGTTTACACGTATTTTTCACGAAGTACAAGATATGTCAGTACAAGATATTGATGACATGACTCCTGGAGAAGTTGAAAGCTGTGTAGTTGGTGCCATTACAAAACTATTTAAAATAACATTTGAGAAAATTTCGAATAGATATAACAAGACAAAAAACAAGAATGTGTCCATAGTACACGGATGCCCCACTCGCACTATCATTTTCTATGTTCAGTGGACCATGAAATCGGGGTCAAAAGTCTAATTTGGCATTAAAATTAGAGAGTACATATCATAGGGAACATGACTTGTGTACGAAGTTTCATAATGGCAGACATTGTCGATAATTTGAATTAGCTGTACATCAGAACCCTGCTCTTACCAAAACAAAAGTTCAGTTATCTAAATTTGCAATTTAAGGAAGCTTCATGTATAACAGGAAAATCCCTTACAAACTATGACCAAAAATTCAGTTTACCCAGGGAGCGTAACTGTGTATAATAGGAATTACAAAACGCATACACGCAAACTTGACTTAAATTACCCAATGCGTGATTTTCCCTTTGAAGTATTAAAGGTCAAGGAACAGTAAATAGGCTATGTCACAAATTTGGTAAAACTTTGCCTACAACTTTGGCCCGTTGAAACATATCTGAAAATCGAAAAATAATGCGTTTATCTGTTTTATTTTCTGAAATATTCCTAATTGAATTCTTTCAGAATAGGTGAACATTTGTATAGGAAGAACATACAATCGACGACAAACGTTCATAAACTTGTCTTAAAATCATAAAAATTCTACTTTTTAATACATAGATTTTTCTTTAAAAACTATATGTTGTTGATACATAAGTTTCCGTTTTAATGATATAAAATAATCATGTGGTCACCGACTTCGTTTTTGGTTTATTAACCAACCTGTTACCTTGTTGGTAGTGAAAAACGTTAAAAATCGACGTTTTACGCGATGCCGTTACGATTATTTCGACTTTGTTTTTTGTTCACCTAGTACACCAATTTGGTTGATGTATACCGTTAAAACGAAGTCGGTGAGCTATTTTTTTTTTACATCATTAAAACAGAAATTTGTGTACCACGAACATATAGTTTTTTTAACAAAAATCTATATGGGAAATTTGATGATTTTATTAAAAACAAAGAACGTTTGTCGTCGATTTCTATACAAATGTTCACCTAATTTGAAAGAATGCAATCAGTAATATTTCAGAAAATAAAAGGGATAAAGGCGTTATTTTTTCGATATTCAGTTATAGTTCAACGAACCAAAAGTGTATGCAAAATTCTAAGAAAATCTGTGACATAGCCCATTTACTGTAACTTGACCCTAAGTCGTTTTATGGCAGATAAGAAGTGCATGGACATCAGAAAACTCGAATCACTTGGTCAGAAACAAGATACGTGTGGGCCTCTATTCCTACCACTAAATTTTGGAAAAATATCAAAATAAACGAGGACAAATTTTTCACGGGATTACTGAAAAAAACACAGTTGGGATATAAAACCACTGCTTGAAGCTTTAGCAACGAAAATGTACATACCATAGGATGGTATGTTATTATGCCTGATATTTGGAAAAAGTATCACAAGAATACCGAAATCCAAGGTAAATGAAAAAAGGTGAAGTCCCTAAAAACTGACAACATCAAACTTTATCAACCAACGGAACGACAGAAAAACAACTGTCATATTCCTGACGGCACAGGCATCCTCCGACGAAAATGGTGGACAAAACATGGCCTTATAAGCTAGCTAAACCTCCCATCTGTATGACAGTTGTTTATAGTTCCTTCATATTGACAAATTTGATTGAGCAATCCAAAGAGAGACAATAGATTTATGTGACAATAATTTGGATCCAGCAGCCAAAATTTGGTAAACATACATCACAACTGACTTAAAAATTCAAACACATATAAATAGATCTAACAAAAACACCAACAAAAAGGTGTTGTAGTTGATAGTAGATTTGACAAAGACGCCAACAGACAAGTTTTTGTAGTTGAAACCAACTGCTTCGTTTCACACAGGATTCTGTGTATACCCCTTTGTGTCCGTCTCTAGATATTCATAATTTCGTACTGATCTGGCTGAATATTAAGGAGGTACCAAACTCTTTGACTAACATTTGGCGCGTTTAATTACCATATTATTTTTATAAAATACTTACTTTGACCTGTTGACAAAAATATATAAATTTTAAGAAATTTGAACCACACAATTTACCGGAATAATTTCATTGGAGATAAGGCAGTTTGACAAACACTCATTTTGATCATTGAGGAGCTTGCTTTCTCCTTACTAATAGTATCTGATTAAAACGTTCAGCTGATTTTTAACAGAGCCAATTTCCTCAGGTGTTCTGTTTCCCTTAATAAATGAAAAAAAAAAATTGTAGCGAATACTTCATCAGTATTAGAATGATTCATATGATGCATTTTGTTTGCTATTTTCTAGTTCATAAAATTAAGTAATAATGCAAAAGCGCTGCAGGATATTTGTCTCATTGGCAATTATACCACATCTCCTAATTTTCATAACGGTTGTGAAAAACTTACACTGAAAAAAATATGACAAAAATACAGGACTCCAAGTCAAATTCGAAAAGGGGAAGTCCATAAAACCTGACAAATTCAAACGCTATCAATCTGAAAAGCAACTGTCTTGACTTGGTACTAGCATTTTCCGCCAAAGAAAATGGTGGGTTAAACCTGGTTTTATAGCTAGTTAAACCTCCCTATAGCTAGTAAGTGTATAAAGAATGCGACACCAGTGTAGCGATTGCTTTCTCTTTCTAGTAGCGACCAGTTCAGCTACCGTCGTTGTAAGTTACGATGCCAAGTTTTCAACAATCAGAATGTCAAGCTCAGTGACGTTCCCATTATTTGAAAAAAAAATCTGAATAAGTCCAATATGCATATGTTAAAGCATTTTCGTGACGATGTAACAATAATGCGGCAATTCTTGATACAATATGTGAGGAAGTTGTTTTAAGTACTGTTACACTAACCTGGTTTTCCAACAGGTTCTTGATTAGACACTATAAAATTAACAATGAAAAGTAACATACAATATAAATGATAATAAACTACAAACATTTCAAGTTACAATGAATTCCTATTAGATAAATCCGATTTATCGCCAGACCTTATTGGATTTTGTTTAGTCTGATCTGTGTTTTTATTGTTTTTATTCAATTTTAGACAAGTATTTTCTCTCTCGCATGTTTCGATCTAGTACTGTGCAGTTGCTTTCTATATATTTTTTTAGACCTCTTCCCTTTGACTATAAATCTCAAGGTTTCATATATATGTTCTATATAGTATCAAAAATTGAAAATATTTGCTTTAAACAGTTAGATAAATAGTATTTATTTAGGATTTGATATAACTGGTCCTACATTTTTTTCTTTAAACAAAAATGGCATTTTCAAAATTGAAATCAAATACTAGTACATGTATTATAACAGGCAACGATACTCTGTATCTTATATTCAATTTTTGCTTTAATTGCATGTTGATATTGTTTTGATTTTTTGTATTATGTGTCAGTTTTTGTAGAAGTGTTTTTATTATCATTGAATCCTTTTTTCCTGTCAAAATAGAAGAAAATACCACAGACAATAGGGTAATTATCGATTGAAAACAGTGTTAGATACTTAATTGATAACAGTATATCTATAATTTTTATGCCATTATATAATGAAAACAATCAGTCACATGGTTTTCAAAAACAGTCATATGTTCCTAACCTTTCATTTATGATTTAAAATTGATCCACTAGATTACCAATAATTCCGAATTTGCTACATTTGGTGAGGGGACATTTTGAGCTGCCCTATTTCCCTAACAAATGCACAATTCTGGTTAAAAAAGTGACATAAGAGTATTACTGTAAAACAGGCCCTTCAAACATGATTAACCCCGCCACATTGATTGGCGCCTTAAAATATGTTTAACCCCTCCACATTATGTATGTGCCTGTCCAAGTCAGTAGCCTGTAGTTGACGTTGTTTCATTTCTGTCATATTTGTTTTCTGTTAATTGCTTTTGCTTTAAATTAGGCCGTTAGTTTTCTCAACTGAAATACTAGTATTTCATATTTTTCATGTCAGGGCCTTTTATAGCCGACTATACGTTATAGGTTTTTCTCATTGTTGAAGGTCGTACGGTTGCCTACAGTTGCTTACATTCCACTTCATTTGAACTTTGGTAGATAGTTGTCTCATTGACAATACTACCACAACTCCTTATTTTTATCCCAATTTAGATCCTTCGTTGTAAAAGTGGTTTCTAACAATGCTTAGTAATAACCAACGTACCGACAGGGACAGGTTTCAAATCAGCTTCCATAATTTCTAATTCGTTTTTGTGTTTCACTAATAATTCGTTTTCCTTTTTCAATGTTTTTCTAAAACGATCTAATTCAGTCGCCTGCTTCTTGTGTAAATCATTTAGTTCCTCTTTTTCTTTATGAATTGAAATGCATTCACTTCCGAAAGTTTTTTCTGAGCATTGTAAGACATCCATTTCTGAGCGCAACTTTCTAATCTGAATTTCAATTTGCATTTTCTGTTTTGCGCATTCTGCCATTTTCTGACGACATGCTTCAGACTTGTTTGTCAGTTCCCTTGAATTTTCGTCAGTTTTCTGTAAGTCTTGAGTCTGAGCAGAAATATTTTGTTCTATGATTCTAATTGAACTTGAAAATATGTTAACAAGGTTCTTCATTTGTGTTAGTTTTAATTTCGTCGGTAAAACTACTATTGGTCTTTGTTTCTCAGCCAGTAAATCATGATCTAAACGAAAACATCGAAAGAATTATATTCTATTTGGTTATGTTTTTATGTAACGAAACGCAATCTTCAAATAAAAATGATTCTACAGTTAATTGTTGCATTGTATTCACAAAATTGCCAAATGAACTATAATATTGTGAATAAATATGACATCAGGCTTTGCATTTTTGGAAGACCATAATTGTAAATATTTTTAAACTCCTACAACCAAGTTGACCTTACTCATTATTGTTATTTCTTTAAGCATATAACATTTCATTGTTTGACCTGAGAGTTACCTATGATAGAAAATACATAAACAGTTCAATACCGCAAACATTATGTATACGGATTTGTGTATTATATCGTGTATCTGTTTGATGTTATATGAAAATGACGATTGCCTTCTGATATCAAACACTGATATTACCGAGATAAAAATGTTTTATATCGTGTATCATAAATTCGGTAGATATCATGCGTGATGTTCTAGTTACCAGGCAAACCATCTGTAGAGGTTACGGTGCATGCCCTCAGGTAAACGCTCTCATGACAAGCGGTTCTGATAAAGACGAGGTCATAGTTATTTGGCTGATCAAGACTAAATGGTGGACTGCATTAAGTGTATGTTTACTTGAGAGGTCTAACAAATAAGTAGGCGTTTTGTACTAGTTTTATAATTAGAATTTTTAGATACTGTACCTTTTTTTAATCTAATTCGAGCTTCCAAATCAATTATCCTATTTATTAGATCATCTCGATTCACAAATTTCAGGATTTTTTTCAAAAAATCAAAGTCGTCGTTCTGCACCAAACATGTCTCTTTGAGTTTTTTCATTAGGTCAATACAGGTTTTTATCTTTTCAAGTACTTTTTTACCAAATTTCTCTCTCTCTTTATTATGTAAATACGCCTTAATTTCCTCTAGTTCACCTACAATAGATATAAGAAGATGTGGCATGAGTGCCAATGAAACAACTAAGACAAATATATATTTGTGAATCATACTTAATATGATTTTAATAAATCTGTTACCAATATCATTTTAGCATTTTTTTATCTGTTAAAGATATCCAATCCTTCCACAAAATTTGGAAGACCTAGAAATTCCAATATGGAGAAGTCAGATATAAGACAAAAATCTAGAATGGTAAAAGCAAAACAAACACATGATTCTCACCATGATTGCCATCGATGAGCAGATATAATGCATAGCCTATTACAAAATAAGGAGATGTGGTATGATTGCCAACGAGACAACCATCCACCAAAGTTCAAATAAAGTGGATGTAAGCAATTATAGGCCACCGTACGGCCTTCAACAATGAGAATAACCCATACCGTGTAGTCGGCTATAAAAGGCCCCGACATGAAAAATATGAAACAATTCAATTGCGAAAACTAACGGCATAATTTATAACAAAACAATTTACGAAACACAAATATGACGGACGTCAACCAACGACAACCACTGATTTACAGGCTCTTGACTTGGGACAGGCACATAACAATGTGGCAGGTTTAAACATGTTTGTCAGCGCTCAACCCTCCCCCTAACCTGGTACAGTGGTGTAACAGCACATAATAAGAACAAACTATAAAAAGCAGTTGAAAAAGGCTTAGGGGAGGTTTGAGATCTCACAAAACATGTTTAACCCCGCCGCATTTTTGCGCCTGTCCCAAGTCAGGAGCCTCTGGCCTTTGTTAGTCTTATATGTTTTTTTTAATTTTAGTTCATTTATATGTTTCTGAGTTTAGTGTGACGTCCATTTTCATTGAACTAGTACACATTTTGTTTAGGGCCAGCTGAAGCCCGCCTCCGGGTGCGGGATTTTTTCTCGCCGTGTTGAAGACCCATTGGTTGCCTTCGGCTGTTTTCTGCTCTTTGGTCGGGTTGTTGTCTCTTTGACACATTCCCCATTTCCATTCTCAATTCTAATTATTCATCAGATCGATACAAAGAAAAAAACATCAAAACAAAAACACAGACAGGACATATCAGGGAAAATATCCATCCCTCATCCCAACAACAAACAATACACTAAGTACATATCTGAGACTACTCGCAGTTACTGACAGCTAGTTCAAAGCCAACAACAACAAATAAAAAAATTATGTATCGAAGACTAAAACATCAATCAGTACACACCAAACATCCAATGGATTTAGTGTAATAACGTCATTAATAGTCAGAGAAAAAACATGACCTTGTGCAATACCAAAATAAAGATATCGACAGATTGTAGTACAGTGAAAGTACATAAGATTGTTTGTTAAAAATATATATATAATTGAAACACAACCTTACTTATTTTTAAATAGCTACGAAATAGTTGTAAAATATTACTCACTATCAGTTATATTACTCCAAATTTCTTTCTTCACACACATGATTTCTTCTTCTATGTCAATACAGGTTGCCTCCCCTAAATGAAATAATGCTGTCTGTTTGACTGAGAGTGGCGGCTGCTGATTGTTTTAACACTTGTTATGAGATTGTAACTATTATGATTATTTATCCTTATTTTTTGTGTGGTCTTATAAGTTGTTTACATAATTGTATAATTACATGAATATTTATAGTTGTTTACAAAATAATGTTATTGTGCAGTCTAGAATCACTGGAACAATCGTAGATACTGATGGAATGATTAGAACTTTTTATTTAACTTACATCATAATTCCAGAATGATCATAATCTACGATGCGTAATTTAAACTTCTACAGTATTCTACAAGTTTCACCGGCAACTATAAATACAGATACCGAGTTGGACTTAAAAAAAAATATAGAAATAATCTCAGATCTATGGAGTTGTTTATTGATAAATTCTACAACATCATACTAGTTGTGAACTTATTGGACATATTTATATTCCGTTTGGATTCCAGAACTGTTAAGAGAAGAATTCCAGATAAAGAAAAGACAAGGATTGAACATTCAAATATTTTTACAGTTAAGTTGACATTTGTATTTGTATAATATTTCTTGAACAAATTGTATAAATAAACTTGTTGAATTTATTATTTGAATTTTTTTGTTGTCTTTTGTTGGCTAACATTTAAAGGTGATTTCTGGCCATAACACACTTACTATTTATAATTCAGAATTTTGTTGATAATTTGTCTTTAAATTTTAATAGAATACGTAATATTGCGATTATGATGTTTACACTTATTTAAAAAAAAAGGGGTAGATCCTTTTCTTGTTTCATTATAAGGTTTGATTAAGATGAGGTAATTACATTTTGTTTGTATATGAATTTCGTGGTAATGGTACTAATTTGAGACTTGTAAACTTACTTTTCTGCTTTGAAATGATGGCCTGCAAAATATTTTTAACTTCTGCAAACTCGTTATCAGATGGTGACCCTTGAGTAGCTAAAAGAATATACAAATGCATGTAAATATATTGTTTAAAATTAAAATCATGGACCGATACCATTCTATAATACTATGTAGACTACAAAAGTATGTTATAAATTCTTTTCAGGAATGATACAGTATATATTTAGTTCATCACTGATTTTTTATGACTATCCTGGTGGTGTTTTATTATCCAAAACGCTAAATCGTATATTTAACTTCAGTAAGGACGATCAGATCTAAAGATTTGAAAGCTATAAGAGAAATACTATAACAAAAATACCGAACTAAAGGTGAATTCAAAAGGTGGAAGTCCATGAAAACCGACAAAATCAAACGTTATTAATCAACGGAACGAGTGAAAATTAAACAACTGTCATCTTTTTGATTTAGTTCAGGAATTTTTGAAGAAAATGGTGGGTTAAACCTAGTTTTATAGCTAGCAAACTTCCCTCTTGTATGACAGTTGTGTATAGTTCCAGAGCATATATATCAAAGTTTTTATCAAAAGGGCTTATATAATGGAGAATGTATGACGAGAGCCATTATCTTACCAAAAATGTTACAAACATTGTAAAAGAGAGGCGAAAGATATTAAAGGAATATTCAAACTCTCAAATGGAAATAAACTGACAATGCCATGGCATTAAAAAAAAAGACGAAAAGACAAACAATAGTACACAAAACATCACATTATAAACTAAAAACTAAATAACACGAACTCCACAAAAAAATCCGGTGATCTGTGTTCAGAGAGGGTAAGAAAATCCTGCTCTACTAGTGGCACCCGTCGTGTTGCTCATGTTAGTACAAACCCTGTGATAAGTCTAATTTGGTGGGTCACATCCGGAGGAAAGGGTGCGGGATACTAGTTACGACAATTGGAATGTAGACCATAAACATCTCAATATTTATACATTTGTCCTAAAACTATCATTTCAGCCATAGTTTGGTCAAAATATATATCTGCAAAAGTTTTTAACCAACAGATATGTTTACATCTTTGTAAAATACAATTTGTAGCTAAAATATATGATTTTTGTTTAAGCGCTTGCTCAAATGTAAATACTTATGACAAGAACCTAAAATGAGGGGTTTTTTTGTATGCATTTTTTTTTGCTATTTTTGCACTACAATTAAGAAGTCTGAAGCACTGATCTCAATATATAAGACATAATTCAAAAATACAAATACGACAGACTTATCTCTTATGAAGGATGATATTTTGTAGTTTTATAATACATTTATTTACATATATATAAATTGATTTTGGAACTCAAGAGAATAAACTAAATGACCTTATTATTTCTTCTCCTTTACCATAATGCATCTCACGTGCAATGGCATATTATTTTTTCTTAACAGTCGTTCCTTTTTAATTAATGATCCGACGTTGACCTCTATTTGCCTATTGTTGAAGGTCGTATGTTGTTCTTTAGATATCGTGTTTGCATTTTTGTGTTGTCAGGTTGTTATGCTATTGGTGTTTCTCTTTTTTATTGTCTAATCCATGTGTACATACCATTTTTTTATGAAAATTGTCGGCAAAAGTAATAGTTTGAAGTTGAATAGTAATTTTCCTCACCTCTTGGAAAATGAAGCATGAGCTCATCTATGAGGGCTTTGTGATGAGACTTTACTAGTGCTCCATACAAATATTGAACTGGGTTTTGTCCTAAAGATGTAAATGTTTTAAGCCAAAGCTCCAAATAACGAAAAAAATTATCATCTTTTTTTTCTTGTGGTACACGTAGTAAGTCTTTAGAGCTGTATCCAAGGTCAGCAAGAAATGTAGTCCATTTCAAGTCATGCGTTGCAGTCAACTCAAGTAAAAACCTATGGATTGTGTCATCATTATCTGAAAGAAGAATAATAATTAACAAATGATGCAACTCACACACAGATCATAAGCACAATAAGTAGCGAAAATAAGAAACGAATTAAATAGAGTACTAAATAGAGAATTTGTGTTATATTAAAATATTTATTCAAATGAATAAAACTTTTGACAGCATAAAAAAAAAGAGTTTTGATTCAGAGCAGCGGAATATAACGACGGAATTATTCGGGTTATGAACCAGATGTATACTATTTTTTGACGATATTCCTTGACCACAGTTTAGGTCTAAGAAATTGTCACAAAAGATGTATGAACGAAACTGGTTATTTTTTCTTTAAAAAAGTCGCATAATTTTTTCTCAAACACATAAAACTGTAAGAAAACTTATACATTGTATATAGCTGTATCATTGCTCTTCGACTTCGTACTTTAATTGACCTTCTAGACTTTGTTCTATTCGTGCGTCTTTGGTGAGTCTTTTATAGACGTAACGCGCGTCTGGTGTACAAAATTTTGATAAATATATTGGCTAATAAAAGATTATGTGGTGTGAATTAATTCGGTTATTTTCGTCCAAATCGACACGGTGAGGCCAAATAATATGCCAATATTTGTTCGGTATAATAAAACAGTTACGGCCCTATGAGTCGGGAGATATCCAAAATTGTCAACCCTGCTAAGGGTTATTTCTCTCGGGCTTTGGGTTGACAATTTTGGATATCCCCCTCCTCAGAGGGCTGTAATTGTATAATATTGTCAAATAGAAGGTCTACCATTTTGATGAGAAGCTGTGAAATGAATACCGATGAGACAATTATCCACAAAACACCAAATGTCAATTACCAATTCGATATGTTTGTTATTTAATTAAATATTGTTCGTCACAAAGTAAGAGCTTTCTTTCAACACAGAACAAGCAGTGGTATTTCTGTAAACTCATTATTTTCTTAAAAAATCAACACTTTAAATGAAATGATCCAGTAAAATTTCTGTTAACAAATACTCAATTAAAAAGATTTACATAGATTTTCTTCTTAGTTAATAGTTCATCGTTGGTTATCTCAACGAGTTCAAAACAATGTTATCACAATAATAAACCCACGTATTCATTTCTGAATTTACAGTACTGTATTTGAAAAACCAATAGAAAAGAACGTAATAAAATACAAATTTTGTAATAGCTAACCTGCATTTAATTACTTTTACTTACCAACAACTGATATATCCATAGGTTCACCATATGCACGGGATTGTATCAAAAACTCTAAAAATGAATATCATAAATATTATATTTTTTCAAAACAATTTTCTCTATTATTCACCGCCGGTGTGGCCAAATTGAAAGCCAATATTTGTTCGGTATAATAAAACAGTTACGGCCCTATGAGTTGGGAGATATTCAAAATGATCAACCCTGCTAATAGTTAATAGTTCATCGTTGATTATCTCATCGAAGTTCAAAACAATCGCAATAACAAAGCCACTTATTAATTTCTGAATTTACGTACTGTATTTGACAAATCAATAGAAAAGAATTTAATAAAATACATGTATTGTAATAGCTCACCTATTCATCATTACTTTTACAGATATAAATAGATAAAAACTTGCGAGTTAATTACGACTTGAAGTTATTTATAATTTGTAACCCAAAACAATAACATAAGTTCCTTAAATAAGTGTTATTACGATGTATAAAATAACTTATTCAAGTAATATTTTTGTCATTATTGTTAAAGTAACCCTTTATCTCTATACTCCTCTCAAATTTAATAAATTTTTAACTTTATGATACAAAATGATGTAAAAATTCATAAAAACTACATTTAGTCTATTGAGTTATTCTATAATTTTTTAAAACAAAAATTACCTATATAAGTAACTTAAAACAAATTACTTGTTTAAATAACGACCCTGACTGGTCCAGTTCATTTGATTGTATCAAAACCTCTAAACTTTATATATCATCAATATTATTTTATTAAAAAAAAACCAGTGCATTCAAATAACCAATATTTATGGCCTGTCTATTCGATGCTTTTTTCCGCCTTTTATAAAATGAAAGCTCAAGTGATATTCTCGGATTTACAGTGTTTACTTCAATCCTTGATGAGTTAACAATTCGTTAATGAATAGACATATGCAATATTTCAGTTATAATTATGAAACTACAAATTCAATGACATAATTGCACATTACCTCCTGGAATAGGTATTTCTGGACTTGGATAGCCATCATCTGTTAAAAATAAAACGCAACGTTAATTCAACGTATGAATTAGTTTCTCAATTTTACAATACATGTCAAAATAAATATTAATATAATATAAATGTATGATACAGTTTCTGGAAAGAAGATAGATATTTTCCTTTCTTTTGGGGTTTAATGATACTTATCTGCCTCAGGTGCCGGTATGAGGAACCACTGTACACAATCTATCAATCAGCAAACTCATAAAAATTCGATGTGTAATATTACAATACAATCTTTTTTAATTATATTTTGCTGGTCAAATTTAAGTTTGCCTCAGGCAGACATGAGCCTGCAATTCAGTGGTTGACAAGGGTTCCTGTCTATCATATTTAATTTTCGTTGTTTATGTTTATTGTTTTTGCAATAAATCAGACCATTGAATTTCTCGTTTCAATTGCTTTTAGTATTTGAAAAACAGACCAAAACACAAAAAAAACGTAACATTAACCAATTAACCATGAAAATGAGGTCAAGGTCAGATGACACCAGCTAGCCAGACATGTACACTTTACAATAATTCTATACACCAAATATAGTTAACCTATTGCTTACAGTAATTGAAAAACAGACCAAAACACAAAAAATTAACAATGACTAATGAACCATCAAAATGAGGTCAAGGTCAGATGAACCTGCCAATCTGACATATACTCCTTACAATCATTCCATACACCACATATAGTTGACCTGCTGCTTGTAGTATCTGAGAAACAGACCTAATCACGTAACTTTAACCTGATCACTGATCCCTAAATTGAGGTCCAGGTCAGGTTAACCCTGTCTGACGGACATGTAGACGTTGCATGGAACCTATATACCAAATATAGTTATCACATTAATCATAATAAGTGAGAAATTCACATGACAAAAATCTATTTTTTTTCCAAGCAGTCACTGAACCATGACAATGAGGTCAAGGACAATGGGCATATGACAGACGGAAACAAGGTATGAAGCATACAGGTCTTCCACCTTCTGAAATATAAAGCTTTATACAAATAATATAGTAAGATAATACCTTTGTCTCGCATATTACGACTTCGTCGCAGGCGAGACAAAAACCTTTATGTACTTTACCGTAGAATAAAAAAATAACTGTTGGTCGGTACTGGTTATCAATATTTATGTCGTGTTGAGTTATAAAAGCAAGCAATAAGAAAGAAGTTATGAAAAGTAATGTGTTCAAGAAGTTAAAAAAAGTATAATAGTGGAATAAACCATGTATTTGCCTTGGCTTATGGAGATATGCCCAGGATGCCTTCAGGAAATATGAATTTTCTTGGGTAAAAAAAACAATATATCTTCCACAGGCAAGGGAAATAAATGTAATGTATCTACCGTAGAAATTGTGAAGTGATGATTTTGGTTGTTTTTGAAAAAACAACATGTGGGAGTACTTTGCGTTAAAAGTTTATCCCAGATAGTAAAATTGATATAATAATAATATAGTCTGGCAAATTGTTAGAACGTATATACGTCACGATAATGTTACTACTTAAACATGGGTAAAAGTCATAGGTTTAATTAGTACGTGTGTCATAGATAATTTTGTCATTCTGGGATAATTTGAAGAAACGTAGTTAAAGATGCAGCAATCCACAAAGCCTACGCAATCCTTAATTTAAAGTTAAATTGGATATAAGAGATAAAACACTCAGTTATAAAGAGATATTAAAGGAAAAAAACAAAAGATCATAGTATATCTGAACACGAAATAAAACAAAATATTTGGTTTTCAGTCTTGTAGAAATTTTTTTTAATTTATCATATAAAGTCGGCTAGTATAGGCACATTGATTAGTTTTTATTATGTCTAAATATCAAATCAACCAGCAGAGACTTAAATATACTAATTATAGCTTACAGTATAATTTGGTAAATCTATTGGCTAATAAAGATTACGTGGTGTGAATTAATTCGGATATTTTAGTCAAAATCGACACGGTGAGGCCAAATAATATGCCAATATTTGTTCGGTATAATAAAACAGTTACGGCCCTATGAGTCTGGAGATATCCAAAATTGTCAACCCTGCTAAGGGTTATTCCCCACAGGCTTTTGGTTTACAATTTTGGATATCCCCCTCCTCAGAGGGCTGTAATTGTATAATACTGTCAATTAGAAGGTCTACCATTTTGATGAGAAGCTCTGAAATGATTACCGATGAGACAATTATCCACAAAACACCAAATGTCAATTACCAATTCGATATGTTTGTTATTTAATTCAATATGGTTCGTCACAAAGTAAGAGCTTTGTTTCAACACAGAACAAGCAGTGGTATTTCTGTAAACTCATTAGTTTCTTACAAAATCAACACTTTAAATGAAATGATCCTGTAAAATTTCAGTTAACGAATACTCAATTAAAAAGATTTACATAGATTTTCTTCTTAGTTAATAGTTCATCGTTTGTTATCTCAACGAAGTTCAAAACAATGTTATCGCAATAATAAACCCACGTATTCATTTCTGAATTTACAGTACTGTATTTGACAAACCAATAGAAAAGAACGTAATAAAATACAAATATTGTAATAGCTAACCTGCATTTAATTACTTTTACTTACCAACAACTGATGTATTCATAGGTTCGCCATATGCACGGGATTGTATCAAATATTCTAAAAAATGAATATCATAAATATTATTTTTTCAAAACAATTTTCGGAGCGTCCAAATAACCAATTTGCAGTAGTCTGTTTATTCGATGACTTCTTACGCCTTTTATCTATGAAAACCACAATTCATAAATTTGATGCGTCGTAAGATTGATATCATATTATTTAATAGTTAAATTCATTTCCTACACATAATCAAAACAACGAGATCTGTCGAAATTCATTATTTAAGTGCCTTAATCGTTTAAGTATACACGTTTTTATCATGGTGCGATATGTTACGTGGTTTATTCAATTTCTTCTTCGTTTTTTTCAACTACTGCAAAACATGGGGAAGCCTAAATCCTTATTCACACCGATGATATATAAAACATGTATACATACCTGCAAAAGAATTCGGAGTATCTCCGTGCTCTAAAAAATCTGCAAATAAATTATTCGTGAAATTATTATGAATCAAATGTCATTGACAGTTAAGGTAGATAGGGTGTCTTCCTCCATCTTGGATTTTGAAATACCAGAAAACAATCGGTCTAGATTTTCAATAAAATGTGCAAAATTTGAGAGTAATAGGTAATTCACGTGTAAGAATTTTCATTTCAATATAGAAAATGACATGTTTTATTATATTTATGGTTGTATTTTACAAAAAACGGAATACTTTTGTTTGATTCATTTTTTTCCAACTCATAGTAAGGGCAGATAATTCAGATAAAGTTACTTTTACAATAGAATGTGTTAGGAATTTACTTTATTATGTAGCAAGGAAACGGGTCCCGCGACTCCATTTTTTCTTTTTCTTACCTGAAAGCATATCTAGAGCTATCTTCTCATATTTTATCTCAAAATTCTATGGTGTAGTTTTCGTTTTATTGCAGAAAATTGGGTTTTCCATGCATAATCTATACAAAATCTGTCAATTTTGCACAACCTGTAGCGTGAAAATAAGCCCCGTGACCCATTCTTTTTATTATTTTTTTTTTTAAAAAGCATGATATAAACTACATTTTGGCAAATTATTAAAAAATTCTATGGATTATAATTTAGACACCCCATCTACCTTAAGGGGAAGGGAAAACAAAACATCATTTAAAATGTATAGTGTCTAGATAATAAATTTGAACATCTTCCATAAATTTCAAAATAATTAAACAATATTTGTTTGATCATTTAGTGTATAATTGATAAAGCAGAAAAAATAATTATTCTAAATAATGACGCCAAATTAAAAAAAAATACTCGCAGTTTTGTATTGGCTGTTCTCTTTATGCCATGTACCTTTAAATGCTATTTGTTTGGCATCTAAGTATTTCGCATAGTTGCGTACCTAGTGAAAGATATTCGTACCGTTAAAATAAATGTTATTGTTCTGATTGATGTAGTATTGTACTTCCGTACATTATAAAATGATTATTGTAAAAATAGTTAATTTTTAATTTGACGTAAAATAATCGTTCTCTAAAACTTAACAATTGTTATAATGTAACCTACATTTTACATCAAATATTCAAAATTTTACATCGTTTAAGGGTATGATCATACATATCATAGTAATTATTGTACATACCTGTTAATAATGTCCTTTCAGTTTCCTCGGAAGAAGTATTTTCTACAATGAAAAGGTATATTGCAAAATCAACAGCGTAGTTTTTAAAATTTACTTTTAAATCTTTCGTATTATTAGGTATATGATGAAAGATATTCCTGGAACGCTTGTCTCACACATTAAAATTTATATTACGCCTAGAGGACTGCCCATAAAAAATGGCGGGCAGACTAATTTTAAATCTAACTTTTTTCAATACATTATATTGTGAATATCAGTTAAGTAGACATGAATGTGTCAGTTGTAAATATAAAATATATTATGTTTACATACAGCAACAAAAAAACTTTGAAAAAATTTCATACTGCAAAGTTATTAAGATCTTATTTGGTCGATAACATTGCTATGGAGGTTTTCTCCCCGAGGGTATCACCAGGCCAGAAGTCAGCACGTCTGTGTTGACATGAATTTTCATTGATATGGTCATAATTAACTGTTTACCAAAGATTTTTCTACTCCAAAAAAATGATTAACAATTAAAATTGGATTAAAAACATTTCAAATCACTGCATTCTATATCAGTATGCTTTAATGTGAAAGTTGTAAAGTAGCATAATGTAGTTGGAACATACCTGATACAATGCATTTTGGAGTCGTCTCGTCTATATCTGCTACATATGAAAGGAAAGTGTAGTTTCAAAATATTAAAAGTATGGACTAAAAACCTAACTGTTTTTACAAAGACTAAAAACTCTGAAACCAATGTAACACTTTTATTCATTGTAATTAAGTCGCCAAATCGAAGTTTTGGAAACTTTGTGTTTTTGTCCCGTTTCTTCTTATTATTATTATTAAATCGCCAAAACGGAGTTTTGGAGACTTTATGTTTTTGTTCCGTTTCTTCTTATCATTATGGCACCCTGAACGGACTATGGCACTCTGAACGAAGTTCGAGTGACATCTTGTTATTGTTCGTTTCTTTTTTTTCTTATCATTTTTCTCCCAAACTTTTTGTTCGGGCTAGTTCTCGGATATGAATGGACCAATGTTGATGGAATTATACCATAATATGAACTACCAAGTGAAGTTGTGCACCTGACTTTTGAATGTGCAAGATTGCCATCGTTTCACTAGAAACAGCAAAATGTAATTTTTTTTTTAGATTATAAATCTTTTATTTTTAGACCCAACCTAATGAAACTTTTTTTATTATGCCTAGATGGGAATAACGTATTTAGAACCTTCAAAATGGCCGCCATTGTTATGTTAACTTGGGAATAGTAATACATTGAACCCTATTTGAAAATCATTAAAGTAACATTTTCTTGCAGAATATGATACAGCAAACCCAGTGAAACCTTATTAAAATGTTGCTTGTTAAGTGTCAACTAGGAATCTGTCTTTGAGATTTTGGAAATGGTCACCGTGACTATGGAAACAGCTAAAATGTAAAAAAAAATTAAATGCTCTAAAGTTTATGTAACTTTACACAAGTTACAGCTGGCATTCGCAGAGTTGCTATTTGGAATTGGAATTTTCAAAATGGCTGCCGTTTATTTTTGCAAAAATGTGAAAAAAAATTTTAAAAAAAAGTGATCGGTAGGAATCAATTGTATAAGTAAATAAGGACAAGAACAAGAATTGAAGATAAAAAAGTCAGCAAAAATACCAGGCGTATGAGGCGCTTTTCATTTACATAAGACTCGTCAGTTTCGACGCTCGAATAAAAAAGTTGGAAGGCTAAATAAAAGCACGATGTTGAAGACTGTCCATGCCTTGGGTAGACAACCTTAGTTTTTCGAATAATTCCAAATTCTAAACAGGAAATTTACAGAAAATGACCTTGTCAATGATATTTCATGTGAACACAAAATGAACGGCTAAATTTGATTTACTACATATTTTCACCGTTTCTGTATTGTCGTTCTTATTTGAGTTAGAGAGTGATACATCCCTTCGAGGAAATGAATCTCAACTAAACCTGACCTTTACCTTTTAGCGCTTTTTGCTTTTACTCTGGTCTCCTCAAAAAAAGAAAAATGTATACATTGGACATAAACGACTTCCAGTCTCTTATCGACGTCCTATCTTCAATTATGAGTTCAATCTGACGTCATAAAAAGTAAAACATTTACGACCAAGATCATAAACTAAAGGGTGAATAAAACTCGGGCAATTTTTTTTCTCGATTTCCTTCATTTTGTTCTACCTAATATTCACTATACTCTCCGCTTTCTAAATTGGACGGTATATAGTGGTGGTTGGATGGGTCAATCCGTCCGTTCTTTTTTCCTTCTGTCCATGCATTGCATTCCTACCCAGATATTAGTAGACAATACGAATCACATACGACTCGTGGAAAGTGGTTTTCTTGAACATTAAAACGATGCGCCAGCAAGACAACCTTACATATTCTACTCATATTATTTAATGTATATATTTGGACTTGTGGTCGTAGAATCCGCCATTCCCATTCTTGACTCTTACATATATACTTTTTTTAAGTTTTGTTTTGCACTCCCAAATCAAATAAATACAAATGAATGTATGAAGATCTACGTGAGGCCAATGCACGTCTTAAAAAAATTGGAGTCGACGTTAACCGTTCGCTTCATATCAATCACACGAAGCTAAACTATACTACTCCGAGATACTTTTAAATGCAATTGCATTTTGAGAAAGTCCACACTTAAATCTTGTATCGGTATTGGTATTTAACATCAGCGCAGTATTTAAACCCCTTTCCTAACACGTCTATTAGACTATATACAACTATATAGCCACCGTAAGCAAATTCTCGAGAACAAAATAAGCAGATACTGAAAAAGATAATAAGAAACCATTATACGAATAAAAAAAAGACAACATAAAATAGTTCAAAATGCTTACAACAATCATGAGAACTTTAAACAAAATTACGAATCCTACCTCAATAAGATACAACAGTAGTTTACCCATGTTCCAAAGACAAAGCATAAGCGACATTCTTGTACAGTACTAGTGTTAGCTGAATAATTGAACTGAATAGAATAACTGCAAGTAGTCCTTTGTTAATTTATGTAGATCATTGTCATGTTGCTTAGTTTCTTCTGTTACCTAAGAATCGGACTCGGACTTCTTTCAAACTGAGTTTACTGTGCATGTTGTTGTGTATCTGTTTATTCCACATTGGCTAGAGGTATAGGGGAGGGTTGCGATCTCGAAAAACATGTTTAACCCCGCCGCATTTATGCGCCTGTCCCAAGTCAGGAACCTCTAGCCTTTGTTATTCTTGTTTGTTTTTTAATTTTGGTTCATTTATATGTGTATGAGTTTATTGTGGCATCCATTTCGCTGAACTAGTACACATTATTGTTTGGGGGTCAGCTTAAACCCGCCTCCGGATGCGGGATTTTCTCGCTTTGTTGAAGACCCATTGGTGGCCTTGAGGTGTAATACCACCATTGATTTTCCCCTATTAGTCTTTGTTAAATTTGCACTTTTCAAAAAATTGTGCAGAATTTATCTTTGTTTCAAATAAAGAAATACTTGGCATGAGTAAAGTTTGATCCTGTCCAGTACTATAGAAAAAATTTCACATAACATTTCATTGCATATAAGAAAATAACCATCACTGGAAGTTAACCAATCAAATTTTCCCCCTTTTTTAACCTGTATACAAGCTTTAGTAACCATGTAACCTCAAGTTTCCAAAATATTCTATAGAAACCCCAAATAAAAAAATAATGGTGCTTTGAAATACCCAAGATATATGTTAATGACCCAGAAATGTTTTACTGCAATGAAATGTAGGATCAATTACCTACAACTGTCAAATTCAAGGGAATATTTTTTTTCGACCTATTTTCGTATGCAACCGGATGTGACGTACTATGATTTGGTGGTATTACACCTAAAGAAGACTTTTTTGTTAAATAAACTGAATGTGACTTTTTTCCTTTGTTATACTGGTTATTTCAAGCATTCCTGTCAAGTTTTGTCATAATCAGTTCAATAGTTTGAGAAAAATCTAGTATAATGTAAGACGACATCTGCAGCGATTCGAGCTAAATTTCTTCGAAAAATCCAAACCAAGCCGCATCATGATAGAATATAGTGTGGACCAATAAATGATCAAATATTTATCTCATCTGCCTACAAACAGTTGAATATGATACAAAAGATGACTTTAGAATGATAAATACTACCAATGGACCTCTTTGTCTTCCTTATAAGGTCTCTTCTGGTCCATTTATACCTCTCATTTCCTCAAAATTTCTACTTTATAGGCCAATAAATAAAAATTTTGGAGTAACTTTTACTCATTTATGATAGAAATGTTATAATAAATGATTAATTGAAGTATTCAAGCTGAATGAACTATCCGTATAAAAGTTTACTGTCTCCAAGGAGGTTTCAATAAGTCCTTACGTAAAACTTAAATTTACGCCGCGTTCCAGAGAGGGACATAAAAAGCTTCTCTTTTGGTGAATAATTTGTTGCTACTGCTTTAAAAATAATTTCATTTACTTAAAACTATATACATTGTATTTATTAAAGTATTTCTTAGAAAAAATTTTTCTAGTATAGCAGAATATAAGAAAAAAGGAGAAAAAGCTCCCCAAAACTCTAAGTATGGCTTATTCTGTCAACTAATATTCATGGTAAAGTCCTATTTCAAGGAAATTTTCTCATAAAATGTGTTTTGGAGACTCAATCCACTCAGAATATTTCATTATTAGTAATATTTCACTTAAATAGCAAGAAATTTTAACACATGAGAGTACTCACAAGGTCAAAGGTGCATGTACAGCTTCCTATATTAGGTGTAATACCACCATTGATTTTCCCCTATTAGTCTTTGTTAAATTTGCACTTTTCAAAAAATTGTGCAGAATTTATCTTTGTTTCAAATAAAGAAATACTTGGCATGAGTAAAGTTTGATCCTGTCCAGTACTATAGAAAAAATTTCACATAACATTTCATTGCATATAAGAAAATAACCATCACTGGAAGTTAACCAATCAAATTTTCCCCCTTTTTTAACCTGTATACAAGCTTTAGTAACCATGTAACCTCAAGTTTCCAAAATATTCTATAGAAACCCCAAATAAAAAAATAATGGTGCTTTGAAATACCCAAGATATATGTTTATGACCCAGAAATGTTTTACTGCAATGAAATGTAGGATCAATTACCTACAACTGTCAAATTCAAGGGAATATTTTTTTTCGACCTATTTTCGTATGCAACCGGATGTGACGTACTATGATTTGGTGGTATTACACCTTGAGCTGTTTTCTGCTCTTTGGTTGGGTTGGTGTCTCTTTTACACAATCCACGTTTCAATTCTCCATTTCATTTATCTAATGAATAATCTACCTTTTCACACGATGTGAGCTGAATAGTCTTATCCTATGAATAATCTACCAATTTGTACAGGGTAAGCTGTGTATTATTTATCTTCTAAATATTTAGCTTTTGGAACGATTTTAGCTGAATAGTTTTTATCTCAGGGATAATCTACATCTTGGAACAATTATAGCTGAATAGTTTCTCATCTAATAAATAATCTACCTCCTGGAACAGTTAGAGCTGAATAGGTTTTATCTTATGAATAATCTACCACTTTGTACTGTGTAAGCTCTATGGTTTTTGTCAGACGAATAATTTACCTCTTTAAACAGTATAAGCTTTGTACTTTTTGTAAAATGAATAACTTACCTTTTGACACAGCGTTGCGTGTATAGTTTTGTTCTGTTGCTACAGCATCAATTGAGACATCAACTTTAAATATCGACGTCATATTTGCTAACTTAAACTGAAAAATGCAATTACAGAAAAAATTAAGAATAGGTATGACAAGAATTAAAATTGGCATGTATATTTATTATTAATATATTTGCTTGTAAAGAAGTAAAAAGATGTAGTATGATTGTTAATGGGACAATTATCCACAATAGTTTACGGGCGAAAGCTACAAGATATAAAAATAATAAATATATTTTTTATTGTTCAATCATTAATGAAAGTGGTATAGTGAAATACTAATTCGCTTTTAGCACCCAATTTGGTTCCATTTTGTCAAAATAAGATAAAAACATTGCTTGTGAATTATTCACTTGCAAGTGAATAATTCGACCTCATTGAATCCGTATTCGTGTGACCTTTAATCTAACCCCTTAGCTGGAGATGGGTTACGCATGTATTAAGCTATTAAAAGGAAAAGAATGTCAACATTGAAAGTGAAACAAGGATAAATCATTTGGATCCACCAAAAAAAATATTCTTACATAGGTAAAAACGACGATAAAAATAATGTTAAACCTACAAACTGAAATAAAACAGACCTAAAAAAAACAATTGCACGTTAATACTATCTGTTTATATTCATATTTATGTATATAACGGGTTATATGACCGTCGGCAGTCTTCGGAGCTCATCTCGATGGTTAATTTGATGACGTCTAGACAAAAATACACACGAAATGTTGATACATATTATCCGAGTCCATGTATTGTTAATTGTTTATTTTAGACTTTTCGTAACTTGGATATACGTTTTAGTATGTTATAATTTAATTTTGGATGTAATGCGTCTTTCGATTGGCTGACGTTGTTTTGTGTATCAGCTCATAGACATAATTCTGTCATGTGACCTTGACGTCATCAACGTTTTTTCATGATTTACTCCGGTTTAAATGGAATTAAGAATTCAATTATAAGAAATGACTGTAATATTTTTTCTGTCTATTCGAAATAACATAAAAAAATGTGGTGCACACTTTAAAACAACCCGCTACTATATAGATATTATAAGACTGACCAATACCACGCCAACGGGAACAAGGGGTGATCTCAGGTGTTCCGGAAAGGGAGGAATATCCTGATAAGCAACGCTTATCAACAGAATTTGTAAAACAAAATACCGATAAGTCGGATTTATGCTTTGGGGACTACCAATTATTTTTTTGTTGCTAGATAACATTTAGTTTTGTGCTTACGATAACAGATCACCCTTCCTATGCTGTCATATATAATTGTATGCATTATTTCCGTATAGTAATATAAAATACTGAAATCGATTACTTTTTTCCCGAAAAGGAAGTTTTTGGAGCTTTAAGATACATATTAAATACAAGTTAGAGTAATCTTGAGTTTCTTCAAAAAAGTATTGCAAAAAAAAAACGAACTCCGAAGAAAATTTAAAAAAGGAAAGTCCATAAAAACTAACAAAATCAAAAGCTATAAATCAACGGAACAGGAAAAAAAAATGCCATATTCCTGACTTGGTACAGGCATTTTCCAAAGAAAATGACGGATTAAACCTAGTTTTAATAGCCAGCTTAACCCACCCCCCCCCCCCCCCCCCCCACACACACACTTGTATGGCAGTTGTTTATAGCTTCGTCATATTGACAAATTGGTTATGACCGTTTGCATACATCACAGACTTACAGCACAACTGACTAAAAAATTCAAACAAACATGCAATGGGGACTAACTGTGCACCACTTATTGCGAACCTGTATTGTTATGAGTTACAATTTATGACTAAAATCAGCAAAGACCTATCGAAACAACATCTGATACAAAAATTTAACAATACTTTCAGATATTTGGATGATATATTTGCTCTCAATAATGACGACTTCAGTATGTATACTAAAGAAATTTATCCTGTTGAACTTACTTTAAATAAAGCTAATACTAACAATGACCACTGTCCTTTCCTCGATCTTGACATCTATATCATTAACGGGAAGCTTAATACAAAAATTTATGATAAAAGAGATGATTTTTCATTTCCTATCGTTTATTATCCATTTTTAGATGGTGACGTTCCCTTGTCACCATCTTATGGTGTTTATATATCTCAACGATTCGCTCGTGTATGTAACAACGTATTAGATTTTAGCGAAAGAAATTTATGTATTAGTGAAAAATTATTACACCAGGGTTTTCGATATCATAAACTAATCAAAACATTTACTAAATTTTATCATCGGTATAAGGACATCATTCGTAAATATAACTCAACATGCAGACATCTTATACGTTCGGGTATTTTACATCCAATCTTTTATGGGAATATTCTTTACAAAGCACAAAAATGTCAGTATTCACCTCAAAAGCTAACAAAATCTTACTGGCATGTCAGTAACTGCTAGTAGTCTGTTGTTATTTATGTATTATGGTCATTTTGTTTATTTTCTTTTGTTTCCTATTCTGACATCGGACTCGGACTTCTCTTGAACTGAGTTTAACTGTGCGTACTGTTGTACGTTTGTTTTTTCTACATTGGCTAGAAGTATAGGGGAGGGTTGAGATCTCAAAAAACATGTTTAACCCCGCCGCATTTTTGCGCCTGTCCCAAGTCAGGAGCCTCTGGCCTTTGTTAGTCTTGTATCATTTTTTAATTTTAGTTTCTTGTGTATATTTGGAGTTTAGTATGACGTCCATTATCACTGAACTAGTATACATATTTGTTTAGGGGCCAGCTGAAGGACGCCTCCAGGTGCGGGAGTTTCTCGCTGCATTGAAGACCCATTGGTGGCCTTCGGCTGTTGTCTGCTCTATGGTCGGGTTGTCTCTTTGACACATTCCCCATTTCCATTCTCAATTTTATGCAAAGCTTGTTTTAAGCATGGGACCTAGTCCTGATTATAAATTATACCATTTCCGTTTGAGAACTGTGATAAAAGGGAGCTGTAAGGAACACGCAAGCAACTCGACAAGCATAAAGTGTCGAGTTCTGTATCTAATAGCTGTTAGATATGAAGAAATGAATATCTTTAGTATATGTAATGGTAATATGGCAGTATACCAATAACGCAATAACAAAATTTATATATATTTATTCATATGAAAGGAGAACAGAAACTTAGCGCCAATAAACAAGATACAAACAAACCTACAGACATGCATGCTTTTTAAATAACACAAGTGTCCATATCAGATGTCAACACTTAATCATATGCGTGTTCAAGTATCGCTCCATACTATATAAGTATGACAGATTTGATCTTTAAATTGAAACGTATTCTAGTATATTAACTTGCAACTTTTATAAGACTTTACTCTAATCTCAATGAACTTATGTTCCATCCCCTCCAATAAGTTATGTTTACTTACTTACTCTTTGAAACTATATTTTCCAATTAGCTATTCTACTTGACCATGTTTGTCATTATTCTATGCAATTAACGACCTTACCAAAAAGGGTGATATCTGTCTTTGCACTCGGTTCAGGAATCTCTCTCCAACACCTCACCATGAACTCATCCAATTAATATTATAGAAACAAGCATATCCTATTCGTGTAGCAGTTCGGTTCTCTTTTTATAATTATGCCACAAATCATTAAAAAGTATCATAAATAAATGGGAATATCTCTTCAAAAAAATTTACGATATTAAGCGTGTAATCCTAGTATTTTTTCATTTTCAGGTATGTATAATGTAAAAGGAAATAAAATATTGGGATTCCACATTATTTAAGTAAATATGTGATTTAATCATCTATGTCAAGTTAAGAATTTAAATGAACTGACTGATGTAATATTATATTAAGTAGACGAGATACGGGAAGATATATAATCGACACTGAGGTTGACAAGTAAGAATTAAAATGTAGGGACTGTGCCAAACACAAAAGTGGTTACCTATGTATCTATTCTACAGTGTATTTAAACTGTATAGTACTGATGAAGTCCCTTAATTTATGATCATTATTAATTATTCATTATGGAACGAATAATCCACAACATTAAACTCGTTAGAGTTAATATTATAAATCCCATAATATTTCCCCCATTTGCAACACTAGGGCAAATAGCATTCTTGTATATGTTGCAGTAAATACGTGGAATTACATGTATTTACTAAAATTTAGGAATTACATATACTTCCTGATGCACTTAGTTAATACAAGTAATTCATGAAACTGTCCAGTTATTACCAGTAATTACTAATTTTAAAATGAATTTTTACACCTATTTACTAACTGTTGAAAACGATATTTATTATTCTATTCTGAACTATTTTAAGCAAATAATGCTCTTCACCACAAGAATATGTGATTCAGTTTAAAAAATAACACAAACATGATGTACCGTTGCTAAATATATCAAAAATATATTGTACTCAAACAATTCTTTTTAATATTTGAAAATATTTATTTGATTTTTTTGGAAATGTTATATTTCTGTGATACGTTAAACATGTACTGTACATTTGCTATGTAAAGATTTTTTCTTTAACCATGAACTATGTTAATTAACTGAACTAGAAGCGATCTTTAGCGGTTTAGCGAGCGATATTGTTTGAAAACTCACAACCTTAAACAAACGATGAAGATCTGGAAAAAATACAGGACTAACCTAAATATTGCCAGAATCTGTTAAGGGATCGGAATTATCCAAGAGGAGACCTATATTTAGATCCTTAAGGATTTGCAAATGGTTAAAACGCTGTGAGCCAAGGCTCCGTGTTGAAGACCGTACTTTCACCTATAATGGTTTACTTTTACAAATTGTGACTTGGATGGAGAGTTGTCTCATTAGCACTACTCATACCACATCTTCTTATATCTATAAAATAGAAACCTTGAGTAAAACAATATCCCATTTTCATTCCAGTACATTATAACTTTCATGTACTTTTCATAATTTGGGTCGAAGGGTTAAATATTGATAAATTAAGTGCAATGTTGTTTCTTTTGGCATTTTCTGTTTAGGGCCTATCTTAAAAGTGAAATAACAAAAATACCGAACTCCATGGATAATATATCATACTTGTAACCATTACATTACCAGCACAAAGAAAATTTTACTCTCAAAGGTTTATACATATGTTTTTGAAACTATTTACCTTAGGATGATTATTTAAAAGAATATAGAAAAAAGTTAAATCACAAAAATACTGAAATCCGAGGAAAATTCAAAACGGAAAATCCCTAGTCAAATGGCAAAATCAAAAGCTCAAACACATCAAACGAATGGATAACAACTGTCATATTCCTTATATAATCGACCATTGTCTTCGTTTTAGTAATATTATGGATTCGAAGTGATCAGTTTCGTCATTTAAAAAACTAATAGACAAAACAATTAGGTAGAAACAATCATATTTATTTATATGTTTGTGTATTCCCAAATATTACAGACATATAGTTATTAACTATCTCAACAAAACTACAACTGTTTACCAGGCCGCTATAAGATTTAAATCCTATTTTTAGTTACAAAAATGAATTATGCTTCAATGAACGGAATTTTATTGATTACTATAGATCTATCGCCTATTTAGTTCAAAATAGATTACGTTGAAGATTGAGGTAGGTTTAAAAGTTAAGACGATGAATTTTTCCTGTAAAGTGTTGAAACTTATATGAAATGAGTTTATTTATCAAAATATGTTGTTCAGATAACTAAATGTGTGTTTAATAAAAGGTCATCAGTCGTCGATTCTAACGCACTTGTTCTCACGTGTCATAATAAAAAAAAATAAGTCATATTTGAAATAAATCGACATTACAATTGATATTCATTGTGGACAGACGTTTTATAAAAAGTTGGTTAAAATCAGTATGATTTTGAATTTCAGTAGAGAAGTGTAATTCACAACATTTACGAATTACGAATTGATTCGACAGCAAACATGTATTTCCCTAAATGATCCTAAATAATCAGTTTTCTTTTTTCTTATTGATGATAATTGAATTAGGTTTAAGACTGACGGATTTCTCAAATAGTATTAACTTATATATTTTTTACGTATATCTTCATATGTCATCGTGAAATAAAAAGATGCTTATTTTCAATTAATATATCGTTACGAAATGTTTACAATATTTTTCATTTTTCTTAACATTATAAAAGCTACCTGTTCTAATCTGCAGACAATCTACATGTATTCAATATATACAAATTAATGGTTTAAATACATTACCGAGGCTCTTCTTTGGTAAAACTGTAAACCATGTGTACTATATGATCAATTCTCAATTATATTTAAGAAATACCTTTTGATTCTTTGAAAAAAGAATATTGCTTCATTTACAACGTTATCTGTATCTCATTGTTTAAATAAACTACGACAATTATCTACAGTTATGTGCATTGGTAAGGCGAGATATTCTTTTAAACCATATCATTACAAGATATCTCGTATTTTAAAACATCAAATCAGCCTATTGTGCGGCTTTTTAAAAATACATTCTTCAATGTTGCATAATATGTTTTGAACATAACATTATCGATATTTAGAATGTTTACCCGTCTTTTATAATCATTCTACAATTATATATCTTTTAAATGTACCCAATTCAAAGTAATGATCTTTTTCTAACATTTAAGGTTATAAAAAAAATCAATCCACCTTTTCAATATCATAATTTTAAATTCAGTAAAGCTAACTTGAGTTTCAGATACATGATTTTTTAATAGTTGTATTGACTTTGAACTAGCTGTCAATAACTGCAAGCACTCGCAGATCTGTACTTTGTGTCCTTTTTATTGTGGGGATATATAAATACCCTGTCACGTCCGGTCTGTGTTTTTGTTACAAATTTTTCTGTTTTGAATCTGGTTGATCAGTTAAACTCTTTTCAGAGAGGGTTAAGTATTCATTTCTTTAACAAGATTTGTAACAATGTTCCATAAAGAAATATATTTATGATATTGATTTAATCTTTTGTGCAAATTTTGTACTTTATTAGAAAACATGTTCCTTTATCTTTAATTATGACTGAGAACTAATTAATGCAATGTTTAACCCTCTTGCTGCCAGTAGTTTTTTAAGGTTGCATTTTGTGCGCCAGATAATACGACAGCTCAACGTCTGTGACGTCACTTGCCTAATAACGACGTCATTCGATATATGACGTCACACCTTAAAGACCGTTACATTTGGGAGTTATTGAAAAAAGTATTACACTGTTCGTCCTTTTATTTGTAAGAGATACATTTGGGATCCATTGAAAAAAATATTACAATGTTTAATCTTCGGTCTTTTATTTGTCAGAGATACAGCAATGTTCAGAAGCTTGCATGAAGTATAACATGGACAATTATATATGTGTTCCTCCGGCACTGCCAGTGTGGACACACGTATCCCTCCGGCAGCAAGAGAGATATCATGTTTATGATTATCGGAATTCAGTTAAATCTATTATGATTTATAATTTATGTATTTGCAGAGAATCGTATCGTACACATCGTATTCAGCATATCAAAGAACCAATCTAATACGCATACATTACTTTGTTTTAGCTCACCTGGCCAAAAAGGGCAAAGTGAACTTTTCTCATCAATTAGCGGCCGTCGTCCGTCGTCGTCGTCGTCCGTCGTCGATGTCGTCGTCGTCCATCGTCGTCGTCGTCGTCCTCCTCCGTCGTCCGTTAACTTTTACAAGAATATTCTCCTCTGAAACTACTGGGCTATATAAAATCAAACTTAGCCCTAAATCATCCTTAGGGTATCTTTTTTAAAAATTGTATCCGATTACCCCGCCCATCAACCAAGATGGCCACCATTGATAAAAATAGAACAATGGGTAAAAAGCAGTTTTTGGCTTATATCTCTGAAACTAAATCATTTAGGACAAATCTAACTGTGGGTAAAATTGTTCATCAGGGCTAGATATATCTGCTCTGAAATTTTCAAACGCATCAGACAACCCAATGTTGAGTTGCTGCTCCTGAATTAGTTATTTTAAGGAAATTTTGCAGTCTTTGGTTATCATCTTGAATATTATAATAGATTGAGATAAAGTGTAAACAGCAAAATTGTTCAGCAAATTTAGATCTACAAATATGTTAATGTGACCAAAAATTGTCAATTGACCTCATAAAGAGTTATTGTCCTTTAAATTCAATTTTTCATAATGTTTTTTAATCTTTACAAAAATCTTCTCCTCTGAAACTACTGTGCCAAATTAAACAAAACTTGTCCTAATTCATCCTTATTTAGTATTTAGTTTTAAAAAAATATCCGATGACCCCGGTCATAAACCAAGATGAAGTGTCTGGCTTATATCTCTGAAACTAAAGCATTTACAGCAAATCAAAGCGTAGTAAAATTGTTCATCAAGTCAAGATCTAACTGTCATGAAATTTTCAGATCCATCAAACAACCCCTAGTCCGGGTGCTGCCCCTGAATTGGTAACTTTAAGGAAATTTTGCAGTTTTTGGTTATTATCTTGAATATTATAATAGATAGAGATCAACTGTTTACAGCAATATTGTTTAGCAAAGTAAGCTCTACAAATAAGTCAAACATAATCATAACTGTCAATTGACCCCTTCCGGTGTTATTGCCTTTTAACGGATTTTTTTCACAATTTTTCGTAAATTTTGTAAATTTTTACAAAAATCGTTTCCTTGGAAACTACTGGGCCGAGTTCAATACAGGTAGAAATAATTGTAAACAGCAAAAATGTTCAGTAAATTAGGATCTACAAACTAGTCACCATTACCAAAACAGGGAATTTTTTCATGAATTCAATTCTTGACTATAATGTGAGTCCTTTGTTTAATATGCACATAGACCAAGGTGAGCGACACAGGCTCTTTAGAGCCTCTTGTTTATATACCGTGTTGTATACATGTTTTGAGCACACACGACGCAAAAATGTTCTGTAGTTCAATTACAATTCAGTGTTTTATATTGTCCTTTTTTATCGAAAACATCATTTAAAACGTCCGGGTTTTTATAACAAATGGTCCGGGTTTTTGGAAGAAAATATAAATTAAAAAAATGACATTATTTGGCTAGAATACGGAGTTATTTTTAGTTTGTATCTGTAATTTAGCGAAAGACAATATTATATACTCTTAATATAATAAGTCGAATTAAACCCTTTTCAATTTAATGATAGCTTTATGTTCTGAAAACGATAACCATAAACTTGCAGTATTATGATACATAAGAAATTAATAGGTCTTTTGTAAAACGAGTGACTGGTGAAAAATAATTTTAATCCAATTCTTGAACCAATGTATGTATATATCATAAACTTAGCCTTCTGTGCACGATTTTATCATTTTGTACGCATCCATGTCGTATTATCGTCAAAAACAAATTTTTCTCGGTCTGTTATGATGTGAAAGTATGGCAGCTAATTAATTGTTGTATTTTGAAGCCGTAGTTTACCGATTGCCACCTTATATTTTAGTACAAAATCAACAAAGAAGCATGGATATTGAGCACGTGTATATATAAAATGTACACTAAGATAATAGTTTATTTCAATGACAGATCCATGCGTATTATAGCGATCACCGGATTTTTACGAGAACGGTCACGCTGAGTTCACTGCATATGGAAAACGTATCGGCGAATTGTTTACTGGAAGCAAACATTCAAAACAAAGTAAATTTCTTCTAACCTTGGACAAATTATCGAATTTTCTTGAGAAAAAAGTATATGTACATAAGTTTTATAATAAAAAACAAGCCATTTAGTTATAAAAAACATATGCATCATTTTGTTTTTAATTTGAAGTTTTATATGACTTTAAGAACTGGGACTCAAAATCGTTTCAATTTCATTTCATTTTATATGTGTTTTACAGTCAATAATATTTTATTATTGATGCATATAACAGTAACGACAAAAGATAGGAGCAAGAAAACTAAGCAAAAAATAGTTAAAAGTCTGAAAAAATCAATTTAAACCTAAAAGTTCTAATGAAAGAGGCCTCCAGACAAAAAATATATACCAATAGCATTTGAATGGGATGGAATATCTACTAAAAAATGAAAACAACACTTTATGATGGGGGAGAATGTCAAATTATCACATATAATTGTGATTCTTTTCAAGAAAGGATTTATGAACTGTACAAGACATATATTTGCATATTTGCATGCATTTGTGTTATTTTATCTACATGTACAACAAAATATACACATATAAAAAAACATTCAAGTGATTTTCTTCAATAACATTGACATTTTCACTGTTATACAATTTTTCCTTCACAGTGAGTGAGTTTTAACTACCTCATTTTCCACAAGTGTATTCTAAATATCAAATTATGATTTAATTTCTTATTTTCATTTCTGTTCTGTTCAATAAATACAGCTAAGTACTTATAATGATGATGTTTGCTTGTGTTATATATGTAAGCCTGTCTTTCAGTGATCAAATTTATTTTAATATTCTAGTGAAATAAACAAACAATTAATGTGCAGGTATCAGTCACTTAACGACTGAAAAATATATGAAGATCAGTTATAAAGTTTCATTAGTTATTGACCTGAAAAATTTCCCGAAAAACAAGAGAACCTTTTAGAATCATACAAATCTGCTGACCCATTACCACCCTAGTGT